AGGAGGTGCTGAACTTTTGCTAATCAGAACTGCTCAGCATTTAGGTGAAACAAAGGATACTGAAAGATGCTGCAAGTATGTGCCTCCACTTCATACCCATTAAAAGTTTGTCAATGTTACTTTATTGAGTCAATAGCTTCAATGCCAAGTAACTGGCCCAGAATAATGCATATCTGGAATACTGACTTCACTCTGATTTCACTTTCTGTCCACTTGTACCTTGACAGTGATTCTGTATTGAATGTACAGTCAGTAACTGTGTTCAAGCTATTGGATCAACCTTACAGCAAGGTAACTAGCACTTTGACAAGGGGGTCAGCAATGGCAACATATTTCTCTCAGTACAGATTTAATTTCAAGTAGAATTTAAAAGCCAACCTGACCAAGTCAGGAGCTAGTAAACATTTTTTTAGATGCCAAGAGAATATGCTTCCATTGACAAAAAGCCTTCCTGGGATCTAAAAGGCAATGTATGTTGGAAATAGTGGGGTTTTATCCCAACATCTGGAAAAAGCCTTAAAGCTACCCTGCCAGTTGCTAAAAAACAATGAAATGCCAATTCCCTGCAATTTGGCAGCCATGTCTCCTATCTTTACTTTACTTAATAGCTGGCACCTCTGTCACCGTTTTAGCATTTGACTGTGGTTCAGTCCCCTGAAAACCATATCACTGCTAGGTCCTGAAAAGAGGGGGGAGGGACAGACATCTAAAACCCCCAGAAGTGTTACATTCTGAAGAGTCTGACAGAGACTGCAGCTCTAAAAATTGGAGGGAAGCTAGGAGACATGGACCTCTGGAGCTGGGAATATAATAGGTCTTCTACTGGAAGGAACTGGCAGTTGATTTTTAGACATCTGTCAGGATTGCTTTGAAATCCGTTTTTGACTTCATTTTTTGTATACTTGTTCTGTCGCAGTGACTTATAGTTCTACATCTACCAAATCAGAATGAGAGTTAATCTGCAATTCACTCTATGGGACCAACTACTGCAATTCAGAAATGGGCTAGAACATGAAGTTCCTGTTAGTGACTGGTATACAGCTGGGTTTATACAGTAGGAAATCCAGTGAAAATATGCAAATTACACTTACATTGGAAAGCACTGCAGTTTAAAACTTACTGGAGTGCGTCTTTAAAGGTAGAAGCACATAAGAGTTATTCATGTTTGTAGTAACAAAACAAAAAAAAGCATAAAGACTGATCAGCAAAGATGGTCACTGGATCATCATGTCATGGAGGTCAATGCTCTCATCCTTTCAGGCTAGTGAATTACATGTAGAGTGTATTGGAAGAAAATCCTCTTGTGTGAAAGCATGCATTCAAAACAAACCGCAGGCATCAATAGATCCCACCTGACCAATAGCCTTAATGTGGGCGTATTATTTTATTGACGCTTATTTTGTGGATGCCTGAAATGTTTCAGATGCAAATCATTGCACAGGCATTATAAAACCGAGAACTGCAGTCCGACATAAAACATTTCACTTAAATCACACTACAGATTTCTAAACTGTATTTAAAACATATTTGAAGTTTACATGTCTGCATTGACAAGCTGTAAACGCATTAAATATACATTTTTTTTTAAAAAGAAGCCATTCGGAGTTACTAAACACCTGTTTGAGTTTACTTCTTGCAAATACCTTCCACAAAGATATCACGCTCAAAACACAAGGGAATGTAACTCGCATATAAACTCCCACACAAACTACTGATGGTAAATTATACTGACAAGGACTCATACAAATCACCTACAAAATTGCTTATGTCTGAGTCCCAGTCATGAAATCAGTGTATCAAGCTACGAAGTGAGCTCTTGCCAAAAGCAGTGTGCATGGCACATCTGGTAATGTTTTCTCCCAGCTTTCATTATCTACATTAATGGCAGAAATATTTCAAATTATATAGTGATGTAAACTATAAGATGCCAAGTGCTTGATTGATTTAACCATTAATTTCTTCCAGAGCAGACAGATTAATACTCCTATCTGAAGGAAGGATGGAAACATTTTTTTTCTTGCATGGAATAACAGGCATGATTGTAAAGTTTCATTCAATAGGACTTGTATAAGGACATACAGTACCGCCCTAAGAACAAATGAATAAACCAATAAAAAACAGGAGAGTTGTGACTCCCAAATGGCTATGAAAGCTAGCCGATTAAAAACCTCCTTAAAACTGAGTGCATGTGTCCCAACAGTGTTTTGCACAAATCTCATGTGCTCACATAAAACTTCAACATATACATTTCTATAAACAGGTGTATAAATAAATTAAATGTGTGACATTGTGGTCATCCAAGTTCATATATGTCTGTAGTGTACAAACAACCAGTCCATAAAAAGTGCAGATAAAATCCAAGTTGATAAAAAGATGGTGCATCCACCAGCGCACTTAATATTTAAACAGTGTCTTCACCCATGTAAATCATCAATAGCTGCCTCTCACCTCATGGTTAGACCTCTCAAAGAGAAGGTCATAAGCATGTTACCCCATTTGTTACAAGGAAGGGGTTCACCTGCCCTTAATGAGCTGAACAGCCGGCTCACAGACTTATCCAATCTGTCTTTCAGTTGATTCCAGAGATATCGCTAATCCACACCAAAATCATAAAAGAACATAAATCATAGAGCAGACCACATCCACACTTTAAGGCTTTATTGTTAAAACTGCTTGCATGTAATGTGTTCAATCAGTAGCAAGATAAAAATACTCATACGACTAATACACTTCCAGGCACATCCACAGGACTCTCAATTCCGCCTCGCATCAGCAAACTCTGCCCGACGTACATTTTGTCTCAAACGACTTTGTCGAGGGCTTCTTTTTATCGTTTTTGGAGTTTGTCTGCACAATTGAAGCACTTTTTGGACTAAGTTGTTTGTACTCTACAGATGTATATGAACTTGGATGACCACAAAGTCACACATCTGAGTATTCATTTATACACTTTTGTTTGTTTACAGCAATTTATATGTTAAAGTTTTTTGTGAGCACATGAGATTTGTGCAAAACGCCTTCGGGACAAATGTGTGCAGGGGGGGAGTGAGAGATGGGGGGGAGTGAGAGAGGGGAAGAAAGAGAGAGAGAGATGGGGGAGAGAGAGATGGGGGAGAGAGAGATGGGGGAGAGAGAGAGAGAGATTCAGATAGCTAAAATTGATACAAGGAATAATTGCACTTGCAAAAAATCCTTGGTAAGCATGTATTTGAAGCTGTGGTGGAGGAGCAGCTACTTGGAGGTGATCTGTGCATTGCCAGCAGCAGGGTGCGTGACTTACCACCAGTCACGTCTAACATGACCTGGCTCTGATAATACAGATCTGGTTATAAAGTGCTTCGTGTCTGGCATCCCGGTTAAAGCAATTGCCTGAGACAGATTTGATTAGTTTATCAATTGCACTGCGCCCATTTTGTATTTTATTAAATTGATAGGTAAATGTTAACGTCATTGTATTTTACTGCTGCATGTTATAGACAGGGTACAGGTTGATATGGTGAGTTGTTAAGGAATTTAATAAAAAACAAAAACAAACCAAAAACAGTTATTCAGGAGAGAGCGCTCTACTTGCATTGCAGGTCTCCCCTTTAATTCCATAAATATTGATTTATACCCCAAATTTCTGTACAAGACTTGGATACCAAATTCCAGTGTGTGATCCTTAAAGTGACATTGAACCCTCAGATTTTTTTACATAAAACAATACTGTAATGTGCGCCTTACTGTAATCCATGGTAGTTTCCCTTCTCTTTGATGCTCTTCCTTTTAAATCTGTATCTGTTCTCGTGCTTGGAGAGAACTTCCCTTTTCAGCAGACTGCCTTGTCTCAAACGGTGTCTGTGTATACGTTTCTATAGGCTGTAGCCTGAGTCAGCACTACAGGAAGAGGCCCTGAGCTGAAAAGGGAAGTTCTCTCCAAGCATGAGAACAGATAGAGATTTAAAAGGAAGAGCATCAAAGAGAAGGGAAACAACCATGGATTACAGTAAAGCTCACATTACAGTATTGTTTTATGTTAAAAAATCTGAGGGTTTAATGTCACTTTAATTACCTGCTGGCGGGGTGCGATAATGATGGTCCACACATTTGGCTAACCTATGCAGTAAATCTTTATAATTTGTAAATTATACCACTCTATCATTTAACAAAGGCCCTGGTGTGCCGAAACCCAGCAGGGTGAGTGACAAGTCTGTATAGTGCAGGTCAAATTCATAACTCCCATCAAGATCAATGCAACATAACAGTAGACGTTTTTTTCCCAAGGCTCGAGTTGTGACTACAAGACATTTTATAGGCAAATCTTTCTTTCCAGACTGACATGTATAGAAGTGTTCTATGACAGTTTATTCCTCAGGACAGATGCATTTTATTTTTTACCAAACATCCTGCTTGTCCCACTGTGGCAACCACATAAATGCAGATCTCACAGCACCGTATATAGTATGTTAAAGTTGGCAGAGTCATTGGTCATGTGGTTTCTTCCGAATTTGGCGCTAAGGCAGAGCTGGCTTTGGATAAATCTCATGTCCTGTAGCTTATTGTATTCCTAGACAAAAGGATTTTTGGTCTAACGTTTTACTAGCTACACAAGGGGAGCTTATTAAACAACTGTGCACACACATTTTTTCACAATCTGAAAAAAATCAATATTTAATTTTAATTTGGATCTCATGGAGCTGGGTTTAAACAATAGCAATTTAAAAGAAACTTGCTTTTAAAGTCTGATGCCACTACACAATAATAATTAGATTAATTATTTAATTGAGAGTTTATCTTGGCTATAGTTCAGTCTTGGAGGTCTAAACCCCCTGGCATTTTGACAAACGCCCGCCCCCACCATTGTTGGTTTGATCTCTTGAACTTCTTGCATTTGTAAGAGGCTGAACTTGACAGACATTTGGCTTTTTTTTTTCAACCAAGTTATCAATGTCTCTAGAACATTGATACATTTCAGATTTCATTATCTAAAAAGAAATGCAAAGGAAAACAATAGTTCTTACCATGGATGGTACAAAAGGAGCAAGGATACCACCAAATCTGCATGCCATGGCACACACACCCAGGCCTGCATTCCTGAAATGAAAAATAGAAAACAATATAATAGCATGATAGAAATAACCATCTATTTGAGGCATTTTGGTTAATTTTGGATAGAATGAGAACAGGTTAAAAATGTCGTCAAATTTTTAGTATTGTCACTATCTCCCTTTTGGTCCTGTCTGTGGTTAGGAATGTGAGGTGACCAGTAAACCTAAGAGGATTTAATCTTCTCCAGCTACTAAACAAGGGTGCTTTTATCAAACTGTCTGTCCCCTCTGTTCAAAAGATTACCTTTCATGGTGACCCTCTATTACCAGGGCAAGGAGTGAGGGGAAACCTTCACCCAAAGCAACAAACAGAAATAAGAGCCTACCACAGGTTCTAAATCTTCACACACTATCCAAGCCCAAAAGAAAATGTCAGTGGCTCAGCTTTAATCAGGACCATATATTTTGCTCCATTTAACCTAACCATATGCAACATTTGCAAACAGAACATACATTATAACTACATATAAATGTTTCCACTAGGGCATCTTCTGCAGTTTGACAGTATAATACAGAGATGTGTACGTAGGAGTGAAATTAGAAGTAGGCTGGCTATGCATTGGGCAGTCTTGTCCAATGCAGTGACTTAACAATTTTTCTTATATCCTATTCTGTTCACACCACAGTGCTGCGGTGGTTTGAGCTGAAAAAAGTCAGACATCCTGCATTTTTATTAAGCACAGCATGTTGTGACACAGTACACTGCATCGCATTGAGCTACAATGCATAAAGGTGAATCAATTGTCATTTTGTAAAGATAATTTCTATCACGTTTCAAAAACAAAAGGAAAATAGTGCAATGTGTTGTAATTGCCCTGTTCCCTTCGCAGTGCACATCAGTGGCCAATGTAGAATGCGGGCTGCTGGTGTGAACGAGACGTTAATGATGATGGGGATGTAAATTCCCAGAGTTACAGCAAATGAAAAAAGGAACACCCAATAATATTTCTAAAAACACATTCTAATGCTTTAATAATAGCAAATATGTTACCAAGCATTGGATTTAGTTGCGGACTGTTGTTCAGCTTTATCGACCAGTCACATCAGCCGCTGCGCAAGATCACACAGCAGCTGGTGTGCGGTGCCTGGCACAGTGCTGATGAGCCTATTCTGTCACATTGCACGGTGTATTTAAAAAAAAAAGTTTATTGAAATGTCACCAGAGACATTCCCATAACTTCTATGGGCTCAGCGTGGTGCAAGGCAGTTGTACCGTGTTACATTCTGCTGTGCTGAAAAAGTACTGACTGCAGTATTTTTTTTTTGAGCGCACACCATCGTGTTCCACTATAATGCAGTGGTGTGAACGGTGTGCATCCATGACCAGGCATATTGCCTTGTCTTGCGTTGGGGCTGTGCTGGTCAGTGCGGACCCAACACATATGATGTGAATTTATCCTTAAAGTGACATTTAACCTTCCTTTTTTTATTATCTTTTTTATGGTGGCCAGACTTGCTGGAAAAAAAGCTCTTTTATCGTTTGTTTCCTTGTGCTCAAGTAGGTTCCAAACTGCAAGCCTGCCCATTCCCCCTCCCCCTGTATGGGTGCCTCCATCAGATAGCCAACTGCAGTGAAGGGAGCCATACATGCACAGTCTTGGCCATGCCTGCACCTAGCTGTGGGCATCCATAGAGACACACACAGTGTGCGGCTGCTGTAAGTGTGGGGAGGACGGAGTTGTTACAGTGCTGGGTGTTTTTTGCCTTGATGTAGAGCAGTGGTTCTCAACCTGTTTAACCTCGGCACCCATATTTGTCCTTGGTCATTAAGTTGCGGCCCAAGTCGCACTGCAATGGAATGCACAGCTTTGGGGTACCGCGCATTCCGGTGTGGGGGATTGAACTGTGGATGGGAGGTGCGTTTGGGGTGCCATTCAAATGAATGGCAACGCAATGCATCTCCCACACCAGAACTCGTAGTAGGTGCGATTGCGTGGTATAGTGCGTTACTCAAACAGGACTGTTCACTGCACTGCACAATGTATTAGTGTGAACACTGACACACACAACCACAGACACAATCTCACCCACTCACAGACATTCTCATATACACTCCAAAAATTATTTAATTTCTTTTCTTTTTTTTTTTAAGATTCTACCAGTCTGCCTACCTTACGAGAACTGGAGTGGATCCTCAGCCTGGGGTCCAGTGTGGGCTGCTGCTGTGACGGAGCTCCATCCATTTGTACATTGCTTGTACAACTCCCTTGTGTGCCCTGTACCAGTGGCGGGAGCCAGAATGTGACGTAATTGCGGTCCAGGCAGCTCTACAGGACATGTGAGGGTGCTGTACGTAACGCATGAATGGATGGAGCTCCCTCGTGGCCATAGTCCCAGACCACCCCCACCCCAACTCAAGCTGAAACTCAGCGCTGGGCAGCATATTTTAAATAGCTGTTTGCCATGAGAACTGACTGTGTTGCACTAGGGGGAGGCTGAGGACATGAAAAGTGGAAAGCACATGGCGACCCACTGAACACAGGGTCGCGACCCCACTTTTGGGTCATGACCCACCAGTTGAGAACCACGGATGTAGAGAATGCATTAAGGTAAAAAAACACCCTGCCTTTAATACCACTTTAAAGGAGAACTATGACATGAGTGATTTCCACTCACCTCATAGTTCTAAGCCGACCTGTGACAATGAGACTGTCACAGGTCGGCTCAGTAGATCGGGAGGTGAGAGAACACATACCGGGTTCCCTCACCTCTCGATCCTGTCACGGCTCTCTGCCGTGACAGGGGGAGGGGCTTTATTCCCCTCTCCGATCTGCCAGCGCTGACTGGTGGAACGGACGGGGGAGGGGGCGGGTACAGCTGGCTCTGCCTCTAGATAGGCAGAGCCAGCTGTCACTCACGCAGCTGGGCGGATCCCGTCATCTAAGTCGGGATCCGCTCCAGGTGCGGCGTCTCAGTATACCGCGAGCTGTAGCTCGAGGTATACTGAGCTTAGGGTAACAGGAGGACGCTAGTTTGTGTCCTCCCGTTACCCTAAGGAGAACTATGGGTAAAAACACTGACCCCATAGTTCTCCTTTAAGCTGGAAAGGCAGAAGATGAAGCAACAGAGACAGATTAGAAACAGAAATATATAACATTGTAAATCATTTAGGTGGTGTTTGAAGCATACAGGAAATTTAATGTTAACTGAACTGAAGCAGCCTTTCCTGTACACTATGATCATAGAAGAAAATCATGGAGAAAGGATAACAGGTACAGTTATACACGTACTGCCTCGGGTAAAGACGTCTGTTGTTAGTGGGGTAAAAAACACCACAATCCACTTGATTGGGCAAGTCAATACACTGCTGAATTCAGCTTATAAATTCACTGAGTTGATCAGAGAAGGAGGCGGCACACATCTCTTTATATATTAAACGATACATTTACTTTTGTAAAAGAAATAAAATCAGTGACTGTCACAGCAGATATGATGTCATCATCAAGCTGCCAGAAGAGAACAGACAAGCAATACTTATCAAATTCTCCTGGCGCCCCTGTCCTATTCAGTTCCCACTTTTATTACTGCATGTAGACATTTTATGGTGTCAGGCTCTGGCACGCAACCAAGCTGATCAAATACAATACATGCTAGAAAAGTCACTGAATGCTTCTATTATCACACATATCTGATTACAACCATTTATAGAAAAACATGGACATAAAGGTCATTGCCAGCACCATTTTAATGAGCTGAGGAATGTTTTGCCTCTGTATGAATGAATGTTATTAATATTCCTATGCATCATTTCATTCCTCGGTGGACACTGTAATCTCATTTAAAGAAAAATCCAGGGCACCTGAGACATGAAGTTGAGTAGCGCTAAATCTTTTATCTGGTCTTCACAAGACTCTGCATCAATATGCGGAGAAGTAAATCTACACTAATACCATCACGTACAGCACTCGAGCCAACCTCAGCAATGACAGCTCAGGGTAAGGGAATACAATAAATTAGCCAGAAAAAAAATAGAGCTCATATACTCCATATTCTTACAGAGAGAAAATCTTCTTCAATCCACAAATAAAGAAAAAGCATGACAGTATTAATTAAATCAGTATTAAAACATCTTTGTAAAAGCCCGATAATTGTCTTTCAAAAGGCAGAGATAATCTATGTGACATCAATTCTCATGCCAGTATTGTGTGGAAAATTAACTGACCATTCCTTTAAACCCAATTTCAGCTATTTCACAGACATAATCAATTAAGGTGTCCTGGATATATGAGCTTAAATGGAATCTCCAGAAAGAGCCCATTAGTGGAGTAGAGAAACTCATATTTAAAGCACACTCTTTTCACTATGCCCTATTTTAAAGTATCTGCTTCCACACTCAACAACCAATTAGCCTGCACCCTCACCTGGCTGGTTGCATGAGATGAGGTCTTATTGGTGACAAAAATAGATATACATTTTAAGCTAGCCTTTGGCATATAAAGTAGAAACATTAGCTTTGCATTACACCCAATAATCCCCTCCACCAACACACTCCTGGGATTTGATCACATCATGTCTGTTGAGCTGCATTTTTCTGCACACCACCGCACATGTATGATGTGAACAAGGCACATAGAATTCTATGTATCCTGTTCAAACCACACATGTGCAGTGGTGTACACAAAACCCAGCTCAACGGACATACTATGACCAAGCCCTTAGCCCTCGTTCACACCTGAACGTTTTGTAGCGCGTTCTACGCTCGCCGAACGCTCTACAAAACGCTCAAAAATATAAATCCCATTGTATTCAATGGTCTCGTTCCCACCTTGGCGTATTTCCGCCCGTCCCTAACGCGCTACAAAAAGGCCCACGCCTGAAAAGATACAGGTACTACTTTGGGCCGTTTTGTTGCGCGTTTCCATTGGGATACAGCCAAGTAGCCTTCGGAAACGTGCGACGGTCGCGCAACTTTACCGCGATTTGCGGTAAAAAAAAGCGCGACAGACGCGCATATGCAATACGCCTAGGTGTGAACAAGACCTTAGG